ATTTCAGAACTGAAGAGTGGTCACGGGCCGTAGTCTCAGGTTTCTCCAGTCTCTTTCTGACCAGTAAACCCTTCAGGGTGTTTTTTTGGGGGGATTATCAACTTGTTTTATGAGAAGATATGGTATAAATGACGGAATGTAAGTGGATATTTGGTACATTTTGTAGAAACGGTAGAGGTAAATCCTACATGCAATGTACTGCCTTGTTGACCCAGGAAGTCACACCTGTTGCCATAGGGAAACCAGGTTCAAGCTTAGGTCTCTCTGTCCCTGTCTCCCAGAGTGTTCTTGTTAAAGAGATACTCCACCAAGACAGAATCCAAGGCCCCCATCTTGTGCAAGTTGGTATGTAGTCACCCAGTTCTTTGCTGGATCTCACCTGCTCATTCAGGTAATGCGTCTCAATGAAGTCACACAAATGGGGGTCGTCGTTCTTGTCAGTGGCCAGTTTGTGCAGTTCCAGTGGTGACTGAGTAACACTTTTTTCCTAATGTAACACGTACTCTATTGCATTCTGCCTGCTCTCCCAGTCATCTCCATCTGGTTTCCTGACATCCTGAAGGAAGATTCGGCCACCTTGCTGGTTCTGCAGCTTCTTCAGTTTCTCAGCATCTTCCCTATTCTCGTGAGATAGGTGCAGAACATGTTTGGCAAAATTCTTCAAAGCCATATTATCACAGTGGAAGTCTTAAGACATGGACAGGTGTATATCTCCAGGGTGAGGAGGTGGAGGGCTGACCGGGAGTGGCTGACTGGGCTGAGGCTGGTAAGCATTGTGTTCTGTCAAGCACTGTTGAAGCAGGAGGTCACAGTGACTCTTTGAAGGAACTCTCTCAGAGATATCTTTTTAAGGTTTAAAAATAATCTCAGCACAAGAATGCCTAAACTTGGAGATAGTATCTATTTGACCTAGCTCAACAGCTTGATAATCAGAACTTGAGTAGAGGAAGGTTGGAAAAAAAAAAATTTTTTTTTTTGATAAAGGAAATGAATGTGAATCTCTACAATTTGATGAACTTGACCTATACTTACGGATATAGTAGCTGAAAATACCAACTGAGATGGAAGAAGTCTTCACATAAAGTATCAATCCTATCCCCTCTGTATACAGGGTATATAAAGACGGGCAACTGAGGTATTGCCTAACTACAATATAGGCATGAAGTGACTGGCTTACAAGGTTTCAAGATGGAGTTTAGTTTAAGTGTGCGGGGGAAGGTAGAATCCTCACTGAAAGTTTTCATCTTGTCTAGATTAGGTCAGCTGTTCGAAACTACCAGCTGTTCCGTGGGAGTAAGATGAGGCTTTCTGCTCCTGTAAAGATTTACAGCCTCAGAAACAGGGTCACTATGAGTCGGAATCGACTCCACAGTACTTAACAACAACAACATAACATATTTAAGGAACTCTGGTAGCGTAATGGTTACAAGTCAGGCTGCTCACTTGAAGGTCAGTGGTTGGAAACTATTAACTATTCTGCAGAAGAAAGATGAGACTTTCTGCTCCCAGAAAGATTTACAGATTTGAAAACTCTATGCATGGCACACAACCACCACCACCATAACATATTTGGAGTCCTGGTGTGATGCTGTAGGATAAGCACTCAACCATAGGGTCATTTTGAATCACAAGGTTGGCAGTTCAAATCTACCACCTGCCCTTTGAAAACCCTATGCAGGTTCACTATGAGTCTGAACTGACTTGATTGTACTTAACAAAAACAACAACATAGCATATTTAACCTCTTTTTTGTATTTTTAGTTGGTTGTACCTAAACTTCCTTGGTCTTATGTGACACTTTTATTCATTCTTCTTTTATCTCCTCCTAGCTCACACATTCTACTGTATTTGGTGAATAAGTCTTTGTTTACTCCTTCCATCCTTCCATTATTCTCATGACTTTATAGACTTACGTTTTTCTCAAACTTCATCATTTTAGATTAGCATTTTTCATCTGGAAGTGGAGAAATTTAGAAGGGAAGGGAGGAGACTTATCAGAAGCACCCGGGGAGCTTTCTCAAATACAGTGGGTTTACTTCCCACCTTCCCTGAGCAGATCAAGGCTTGGATTAGGGGATGTTTATATTGAGAACAGTGGTGGTGGTGATGTGCCTGAAAATCAGTTTTGACTCATAACAACCCTGCATAGGGTTTCTGAGGCTGTAAATCTTTACAGAAGCAAAAAACCATATTTTTCCCAATGGAATGTCTGGTAGTTTTGAACTGCTGACCTTCAGGTTAACAGCCCAATTCATAACCACTACATTACCAGAGCTCCTTATAATGAGATTTATCTACATCTAATTTTGATGGTCTACTCCCTCAATTGTACTGAACAGAACAGCTTTAATTTTCTGTTCTGTCTTCCTTCATTTCTGTGACAGTTCATGTCTGCCATTCTGGTAAAGGAAAGTTTCTATTCTCTGTGAGACTGACCATGATTGGGGACTGCGATGAATGTTTGCAATCACAACACTTAAACTGGCGCTTCACTCTAAAGCCCAGAGACCTAGGAGATCTTCCTGGATGTAGCTCCACCTAACCCAACAGCTTCTCCACTTGCTTTTCTCCCAGCAGTTTTTCCAGCACAGATTTCTCAAGACACTGAAGATATCCAGTGATGGAAGAGGCCAACAATATCTCCTCAGAGGGCTTCATCCTGATGGGTTTGTCTGACCACCCCCAGCTGGAGATGATTTTTTTTGTAGTCATCCTCATTTCTTACTTAATGACCATAGTTGGGAATTCAACCATCATCCTGCTTTCCCGCCTAGATCCCCGGCTGCACACACCCATGTACTTCTTCCTCAGCAACCTCTCCTGCCTGGATCTTGGCTTTACTACCAGCTCAGTGCCCCAAATGCTGATGAATTTATGGGGCCCAGACAAGAGTATTAGCTATGGTGGCTGTGTGACCCAACTCTATGTCTTCCTTTGGCTAGGGGCTACTGAGTGCATCCTGCTTGTAGTGATGGCATTTGACCGCTATGTGGCAGTGTGCAAACCCCTGCACTACACCACCATCATGAACCCTCGGCTCTGTTGGCTGCTGGCTGCCATTGCCTGGTTGTGTGGCTTGGGCAACTCTCTGATCCAGTCAACATTCACACTGCAGCTCCCGTTGTGTGGGCACCGGAGGGTAGACAACTTCCTGTGTGAGGTGCCCGCCATGATCAAATTGGCCTGTGGAGACACTACTCTCAATGAGGCTGTGCTCAACGGTGTCTGCTCTTTTTTCACTGCTGTGCCTCTAAGTATCATCCTGGTCTCCTACTGCTACATTGTTCGGGCAGTACTGAAGATCAGCTCGGCAGAGGGAAGGCGAAAGGCCTTTAACACGTGTTTCTCTCATCTGGTTGTGGTGTTCCTCTTCTATGGCTCAGCTATCTATGGGTATCTACTTCCAATTAAAACCAGCAACCAGGACCAGGGCAAATTCATTTCTCTTTTCTACTCCGTGGTCACACCCATGGTGAATCCTCTCATCTATACGCTGAGGAACAAGGAGGTGAAGGGGGCACTAAAAAGGCTGCTGGGGAAAGGAAGGGAAGTGGGCTGAAAGAAAACACCTCCATCAACTATTGCCTGTGTATCTTGGCATATTTTTTCTCATTATCTTTTTGGCCAGGTGAACAAGAGAAGTACTAGGCCTGGTAAAACCATCTCAGTGAAACCAAGGCATGTTCCCAACAACTGGGATGTGGTTAGTGTTATTTGCAATAGTCTGTGTTTATTTATGAGTCCTGCTGGTGTGGGACTAAAGGGTAAGTACCGGACCTCAAGATCTGTTTGAATGGCAAGGTAGACTGTTCGAATCCACCAGCCCCTCTTCAGATATCCTATGAGTCGGAACCGACTCGATCGCACATAACAACAGCAATACATTTATTTACCAAAATTCCTACTGTGGACTCCATATAATGGGGCAGACATGTATGTCCAAGGTTCAGAAATTACTAACCAAGTACAGATTTATATCACTGTCTCTGTCCTTATAGTCCACATGCTGTTCGTTATACCTTATATTTATGGAGAATTCTATGATTTTCTAAAGAAAGCACCTCTGCTTGCAGTACCCCATATAAAGTTACTATGCTCCCATGAAATCAAGGCAGGTGTTATCAACAGCGTGTGAAGACCTAAAGAGTTCACTATTGTACCCAGAGACCTATGCAGCCATTGTCCTTGTTCGTCTTTGTCTCTTCTTCTCAATAGTTCAGTATATGTGCCCATAATGGTCATCCATGTAGCCTTCTGTCATCCTCTCTTCTTTTTCTCTTATGTCTACATCTCATTTCCCTTCTGTCTCATTTAATGTTTAATGAAAAAATGTAGGAAAAAGTCATTTGCCTTTCAATCTAGCCAAAGATGACCTCTTGCTATAGTTTTATTTAAATCATCCCATATAAAAGTCCAACTAATTAGATATGATCCAGCACTGGGTATGCTAGTTTGGACTTCTGGTGTGGTGCTGTAAGATCAGCACTGGACTGAGAACCACAAGGTCAGCCGTTCAAACCCACCAGCTCCATCTCGGAAATCCTACACAGAGTTGCTATGACTCAGAACCAACTCAACAGCACTCAAGAACAAGATCAATATAGTCTAGTTAGTAGATGATAGAACCCTCTGAGATTCTTTGAGCAAGTTGAAGAGCCCAAGAAAGATCGTCTGTCCACAAAGTATGTCCTCTGACCCAAGATCTAGTCTTTCAGACCCACAGTCCTTGGAGTTCTGTAATCAGTTTAGCCCACACTGGCTCACCTCAAAGAACCCAGATATTAGAATCAAAAATGCTAATTTGTGATTTTTTTTTTTGGGATTGCCAAAGGAATCCCAACCTGCCACTACATTTCACATACTATTTACTATGACAGAGAAGTTATGTTAAAATGAGAACGTTATTTAGCAACAACAGCAGGAGAGAACAGGTGTGGCACTATAGGATAAACTCTGGACTGGTAACCACAATGTCAGCGGTTCAAATCTACCAGGTACTCTCAGAAACCCTACAAAGGGTTGCTCTGAGTCAGAACTGACTTGATGGCACAAAACAACAACAATAAGGACTACTTTACAAAACTAGTCCTGCTGTGTGCTGTAGGATAAGCACTGCACTTCTAACCACAAGGTCGTCAGTTCAAACGCACCAGCTGCTCCTTGGAAACTTTATGGGATTGCTGTGAGTCAGAATCAAGTTAATGGCACTTAACATCAATAACAACAGGACTAGTTTTAAAGGGTCTTCAGCTTTGTGTTCCAAAGAGCAACTAAATAAATGCTTTGTATACAGTAGGTATTCAATAAATGGTTAGTGGATTGAATTAACAAGCCTCATGAGTCTCCCTTTCTCATGGGAGGAGCTAGATTTGTCAAATGAACCATTTCCATGTTTGCCAGTTTGGGCTCATTCTGTCCCTTGGACAACAGTGAGCCAACAAAGGCAAATGTCATCCTTTCTACCATTTGCACAGAGGCCTCCAAAGACATCTGATTATAGTGTCCTGGACTGAATTTGGGTTTCCAGTTGCAGATCAAAGCCCTCTGTGATTCTCAGTTTCTAACATGGCAGTCTTGGGATATAGCTCCGGGACTAGCCAATTGGTGACATTATCTTGGAGAATTCATCAAAGTCCTGATTCGTAGAGGCTCAAAAACTTCATTGGTCAGTACATTTACATTAGATCAAAACTCTCTGGAAGTACACTCACAATAGTGAAGTTCCTAAAGGCTGATATATAAACAAGAATGCCATTCGATTAATTTACTAGAACTGTAACTACCAAAGACATTGAACAATCATCTCTTCTAGTCAATTCATCAAAGTAGACATATAATTTGGGCCAAAGTGAAAGAAAAGAGATATACATTCTTGAAACATTTTAGAGTTTTTAAGAACTTCCCTGTGGAAACATTTTAAACCTAATTTTAGGTTAAAGGAATGGTGAGACACAGGGAGAAAAAAAAAAAAATTGGCCATCATTGAGAAGTAAGTGCATCATGGGAATCAGATATAACATTATCCATACACAGCATGTTCCATTCTGAACGGTGAGCTTGAGACTAAGTAAAAAATTTCTGGGAAGATTAAATATGGGACAAGCTCCCTGTTAATTAAGGAGTTTGAAGTTGCATTTGCAGGGGTCCAGAGGAAACCATGTTTGTTGTTAGAAATTCTGAAAGTGAAAACCAAAAAGCACCCAGACCTTTCTAAGGTTGCTTAGGTAACACTGTCCCATGTCAGGAACTCATCTTTGTTGGATTCCTTTACTATCCTCAGTTGGAAGCAATTCTACTGAAATGAACAACATTGACTTCCTAGAGTTGTGAGGATAAAATGGGTTATGTAAGAGCTCTCTTATTATTGTCATCATTTCAACTGTGTGACATTAGGTTGGCCAAAGTTCTATGGTTAAATGCTGTAGAGTGTGTTCCCATTTATAGCAACTATGTATTTACAGGGCTTTCTTTCAGCCGCAGTATGGCTGGCAGGCTCATACCGCGGACCTCGTGGTTCGCAGTCCACTGCTGTCATATGTAGCCTGAGTTTGTCCTTGTTAAGTGCTATGGAGTCAGTTCCAACTGATAGCAACCCTACGTGTATAGCTTTTCCGAGAAGTGGCTGATGGGTTTGAACCGCCAACCTTGCGGTCCAGCACATTATCCTACATGCCACACCAGGACTCCAGGGCACCAGAGTTTGTTGTTATTGTTAAGTGTGTCAAGTAGATTCCCACTCCTAAACACCCTATATAGGGTTTCCAAACAGCACCTGATGGGGGACAGACTTTAGGGATTGGCAACAAACACCAGGATCCCAGGCTCTGGATTCCCACACATTATGATTGGACCTAGGTAATGACTCAAAGGCTTTACGGGTGTGTGGATCATGACAAGCTATGGACAGCATTGCGAAGTATGAGTAATCCAGAACACTTAATTGTGCTCATGAGGAATCTGTACCTGGACCAAGAG